CAGTTGGTCTTGCGCTTCGAATGTTCATGAATGAATTACCATCCAAAGGCGCTCTCTCAAATTAGAGAGGTTAAAATGATTTGGTTCGAGATGCGTCCTGGGCGAACGTCGTTTTGGCGGGTGCTCAGTTCTGTAAGAAGTACCACGCCTTCAACAAGTGCCCGGGGCGCTTCTTTATAATATATATATATACACGTACATGTGATTCAATTTAGGGGCCCGTTCAATTCGCTCCAGTTAGCTTCCCGCCAATTGGTGTTTTTCTGCTTGAAGGGGTTAGGGCTGACACATTCCGCCACAAAAGCCAAAGCCTGAAATGGCCATGAGTCAAAATCCCGTACCCACAGTGAACATCCCAATCCCCACTAAACTAGGTTCTAAAATGCGTGGTGAATTCACCTACCCCATGAGGATCCCAAAACGGTTTTGACAACCACAGCCAAATCCAACCAAGGGCTAGCTGCGAGCCTCCGAGAGCGGCTTGGCGCTCGGCCTGACGCAAGCTCGCTTCAAAAGACCCGGTGACCCGACCTCGGGGTTCGTTCCTCGGGTTGGACTCTCCCTATGTAACTGGAGATGCCCCGCTAAAAGTGAATAACTTTTAGTGGGTTAAATACGGATATCCAACCACCAAACACTAAACAGCTAAAAGGCTAAGGAACCGGATGGCTGCGAGCCACCAAGGACTTCCAGAAAACACTTCCGGATTTGTGTGGACGTCACTTCCAGATAAAACCCAGAGCTGTGACCCAAAGACCTAGAGATCAATTCAAGGACGGAAATCCAGGGATGTAAACGTCCATGGGACATAGAATGAAGGACGGCCCGGCAAGATCAAGGCCAAAGAAAGACGAAGGCCAAATAGCGAAGGCTTGTGGAAGGTTGATTCAGCACTATCCCCAAAGAAAAACTTTCAGGTGCAACAGCCCAAAAGCCCGGGCAAAATATCTCACAAATTCATCCGGTCCACCTGCGGTGGGTGTCATCTTGGTTCCGTAAGCCTCTTCCGTTGACACAACCCCGAGTCCACTCTTACAGAGCCGGCCGAAGCAGACTCTCGAAGACATGTGGCGGTGCCCAATAACAAACCACCCCAACTGGATTTCAGTGTTCCCTTTCTTAGTTGCTGTTGACCCCCCTGCAAAAAGTTTAACGTTTTGGGGGTTTAGTGGAAAACCCCTTGATTTCCCCAAAAGTTAAAGTCTAAAGATCCAACCCACTAGCAGTCAAGCTTTGCCTTTTCAGCCCAAAGAGGATAGCCGCAACAAACACGCACCCTTGCACATGTTAGGTTTCTGTTGGGTGCCTTCTGTCCATCAGAGTAATTCAGCGAGCGCTGCACAGCGGTTGCTTTTCGCGAACCCAAAAAATCCAGCTGTTTGCCCTCAGCTCTGGACCAGCCACTTAGATGAGAAAGAAGACTTGTCGAAAGAAACCTGACAGGTACACGTGTCGCCCTTTTGAGTCACAATTACAACTGGGACCATGTAACAACGATAACCTTGCAGTGGACAGCTGCTTCTTGGCTTGGACCGACCTCTACCCCCAGTTCTATGCCCAGCTCCGAGTTGCTTGATGGGCAGACTTCACTGGGGGTCCATGTGCCTGTTCATGCTTGTTTTCAGGTCGGAATCGGAAAGCTCGTTCACGGATCAACAAGCACGAAGCTGGTCATAACCTGCATTTTGACTGTACCTTGCAAACTCGACGCTACATGAGCTATGCTAGTGGTTACTACATGGTTGAATGGTCGGGTGTTCCCACCTCGTTCTCCAACGCTGCACCCGATTGCTCGTTTTTTCACCAGCGCATGTGGTTGTGATGTCAACCACTTATATGTCATGGCCCACCTCTTTTGGGGGTGTTCCCACCTCGCTTTGCCCCCCTAATTACCCAAACGATGTTTCGGCTCGGCCTTTACTGTAGTACAAGTCTTCTCCAAATAAAGGCAGTCCCTCACACATTAGGCCGGGAGAAACAAGCGTCCGTCCTCTTGCGCCCGAACTTTTCAAGCTGGCCCCCCCTCCTCCCCCTCCCCGCGCCCCCGCTATGCCCGAATCGAGAATCGGCGCCTCAACTGCGGTGCGGCGGGCGCCAACATGGCGCGAACAAAACGACCACAGACAGGACCGCCGAGTATTTGTTCCATCCGGGGTCGTCCCTGTACTACCCGTTTTGGGAGTACCTCCAAGATAGGACGTAGTCGCACAAGGGCTATCCTGTTTCCGTCAGGGAGGAAACAGCGGACACTCGTTCCTGTGAGTGGATTTTGAAGGGATGGGCTTCAAAAGGCGTCAGCAAGCCTTGAAAAGTTGAGTTCAGAGGTGGGAGTTGATTTTTGAAGGGAGGCCCTCTCTAAAGATTTCTAGTCACTGGATTCCCCCGAAGTTGAGCAGTTGATAGGTCCAAATTGCCCAATCTGCCACTTTGCTGGAAAATTCAGGGATGCCCGAAGGGAAGCACTTGGGGGGCTCTACCCTTTTCGTGGGTGTTTCGATCTTTGCGGCCTGTGGGCCTCAGCGCATAGCGCAGCAAGCGAGTGGGGAGGGACATGGAAGGACTTTGGCGTGGTGCCCCGAAATTCAGGACATCTGTCGTTGTATGGGTGTGGGTCAAAATTTCAACCACCAGGGGACCACAGGTTTTAGTCCTTGGTTCCATTTACCAGGGCAAGCCATCTTGGGTACCCATTTTTGACCCCCGCCGTATGGAGTTTGAAGGAAAAAAGAGGCAACTGAAATATTGTATCAACTCCCAAGGTGAGGAGTTGTAACCAAAACCTGAAACACGAATGGACACCAAACGAAATCCAAGGCACCCCTGGGAAGGTGTGCTAGAACATGTACCAGCAAGAGATCCCAATCAAGGAGACTTCTCGAAACATGTAAGGTCGCTGGAACTTGCCCAGACTGATACACGTGAATCCTCCTTCGAAGCTTGGTTGAAGTATAAGCTTGCTTGAGAAGTCTAGATCTTTAAACATGGGTTCAGGTCACCAATTGGTTGGGTGTCTTTGCTCCATGTTGATAAGGCCTTGCCCCAACATGCTACCAAACACGTCACCGTGAAAAACTGATATTCAAGGCGTCCCCATGGCGAAGATCGGAAGTGCAAATCTCCGTGACTGTCTGCCCTTCATCAATGTCCCGAAGAGGCACCGGAGGCGAAGTCAACGACATTCCTTGTGCCTCTATTCTCTGAACAATTCCCACCTGGGTCCTCCTGTAGAGAGATTCGAATAAGGGTACCAACTTGTTTTTTCCGTAGTCTATTTTAGTAGGGGAACCCTCCCAACCAAAAAAGGGGTTAAAAAGGGCACCTAGCTGGGGGACCCAGCCACTGAAAGGGCCTGGATTTAAGCCTCACCTTGACAACCAGATCTGAAAACCAGCCAGCCCCAGCCAGCCACGCAGGCAGTCGGTCCGTCCGTCCGTCCGTCTGTCAGTCTCTCAGTCAGGCAGGCAGGCAGGCAGCCATCCAGCCAGCCAGTCTGTCAGTGAAAAGTCACCAAGCAGACATGACACTGGAAAACCAAAATGCCGGAACTGGGGCAACTCGCGATGGAAAAAGGATGCCTCGCGCATCCAAACAAATTCAGATTAGTCTAAAATACAAGGGTTTGCCACAAGCACACTGGCCCTTATTGCCGAAAAGTGTTCTGTTTGGAAACCAACTCTCAAGTTGCCCAGTGGCGGTGGAAGAAGAAGGAAACCCTTTTGGGTAACCTTTCTGAGAACCAAATCAAAAGGGAAAGGCACGAGTGGAGCGCTTTTCAGGGTCTTTGCTGTAGGCAGCACGGATCTTTTTTCAACCGAGGCGTTTCGCGCGACGTGGTTCGACACTTCGCGCGGTGAAATCCAAGCTGTACAAGCGGCAGCTTGAGAGGGAGATGCGGCAAAGACTCGACAGGTTTGCTCCAATCACCCTGGATTCCTGGTCTCGGTCCTCCAGTAGAGAGGTTCGAATAAGGGTACCAACTTCTTTCTGTAGATTATTTTAGTAGGGGAACCCGCCCCCAAAAAGGGCAAAGGGGCACTACTGGGGGACCTAGTGGTAGGTGGGTGGCGTCGAAAGTTCACATAGGGTAACCGGAAAAAAAATAAGACAAAAACAACAAAAGAAAAAACACAGGGCGCGGCTAGAAGTTTCCCGGGTCTTCCCATGTCAAAAAGTGACGTCTTCGCGACTCTCTCTGCAACCCGCCGCGACTTGGACGAAGCTCAGGGGGGCACAGCTCAAAGTTGTTCGAACTTTTGAGAACCTGACATCACTTTTTGGGATCTCGCAAAAATGGATCTGAATCTGAACATGTCCTTGCAAAGCTGAGGTGGATGTAGCTTGGCTTTGCCTTAATCAGACTTGGTGATGCCTTGACTGTTGGGGCCATGGGAGAACCATTCCGCTCTTCCCCCATTCAATCCCGGCATTATTAGTTTCAAACATTTGCCGAACAACGTGGGGAGTTTGGGCGATTTATCCAGAGAAACCTGGGTCAAAAGAATGTGGAATCAACCTTTTGACAAATAAGTTGTCTCCTCTTTGCTTCACTTCCAAACCCAAACAAGCCTCTTGTCTTGAAATATGGGTACTGGGTCAGAACAAAGTACTGGTTGGCTTTTGGCTTCCCTGAACCCACCAAAGGGCTTGCCCGAACAAAAGCAGCCCATATGTCTAGCTGCATTTGTCTAGGTGCATTTCTAGGTACTCTGTTAGGACTCGTGGAGTACCCTTCCACGCAAGCCAACATCCAACAAGGAGTTGTCCTGATTTGTGTTGAAGTCTTCTCTGATTCAGATTGCGGAACTTCGGTGGAACCGGTGACCCAAGGAACCCACGAAAAGCGTAGAGCTTTGGCTCACCCAAACTTTGGGCCCTACGGACGCAGAACTCGTGCCGCCGGGGTTCCACGTGTTGGCTCCCAAATGAGCTTGAACCTAGGTCACAACAAAAAATATATTGAATCTCACCTTGAAGAGTCGGAGAATGGCATCGAATCATGCACTGGGTTCAGGTCCTTCGGAGAACCCGAGAATGGAACCCTGCTTGCCGCCTTCCCGGCCAGTTGCTGCGTTGGCAACCTCGGGCTCGGTGCTGGTCCCCTAAAATGCCCCTGATCTGAAGCCCTGAGGACACAGGCGACTCGCGCGTTTCCGACAAAAGCCTTGGCCACCGCCCAGTGCCATCACATCCCATCAAATATGCAAAACACAAATTCAACAACAAAAAACAAAATAAGGAATCCACAAGTACAGGACCTACACGGACTCTCGCTCATTCCCCCCAGAAATTGGCGAGCTCGCTTTCCTAAGGTTCCAACATGAAGACGAGGCATTGGAGTTGAAGTCCAACTTCCCCTTTGGAATTCCACGAGGGTTGACAGACCGACACGCCACTACGAAAGCTGTAAAAGTGATTGTCCGCTTAGCAATCAAGCAAGCAAGCAAGCAAGCAAGCAAGCAAGCAAGCAAGCAAGCAAGCCAGCAAGCCAGCAAGCCAGCAAGCAAGCGAGCACGCAAGCAAGCAAGCATGGAAACATATCAACCGATAATCAAGCAAGCAAGCAAGCAAGCAAGCAAGCAAGCAAGCAAGCAAGCAAGCAAGCATGGATACATATCAACCGATAATCAAGCAAGCAAGCAAGCAAGCAAGCAAGCAAGCAAGCAAGCAAGCAAGCAAGCAAGCAAGCAAGCAAGCAAGCAAGCAAGCAAGCAAGCAAGCAAGCAAGCAAGCAAACAACAACATAACGAATCCCCGAAACATATTCCCAGCAGGAATCGGTGGGGGACTGCACAAATCAATGATTAGCCATTCATCTGCATAAACCACCAAAAAAAACCAGGTATATGCTACTCATATGGAAGGCCCACCATTCAACACTGATACTTCATCTGGTCACCTCCAAGATATAAACAGTTCTGCGGCCAAACGTGTTCATGAGGGTGTTCCAAAAGCAAGCCTCGTGCTCTTGGTCAGGCCGTGATCTATGTTTCTCTAATTCCAGACATTAAGGCCTTATTCGGGCCTGGAGCGGCTTATTGAGCCCCCGATCCTTGCGGGGACTCTTTGGGGGGTGGTCTGTACCCTGATACCAGTCACAGAGGAGAAAGCAGACACACTGTTCCTTGCACCCTCGCCTCCAACAATGAGCACACCCTGTCCCAAGCTAATTTGTTCATGATTTCTGCGCAGCAAGGGGTCAGGCAAGAACCATCCTGCTTGGAAATCCCGAATTGGCTCGGTTTGTTCAACCGCTGGGCGCGAGGCCTAGTAATCGGAGTAACAGTCGGATTCGCTGTCCTCTTCCGTCTCGTCGTCATCAGACTCCATGCCCTGCGCACTTTGCAACATGAGCACAAGATATGTGTTTTGAGGGTACCCTTTTTGGGTTGGTTTTTTAATTGGGCCACCAGGGTCTCCTATATTTCCCCCTTTTGCTGCCTTTAATCGTCACCTTTTGGGCCCATTTAAAGCACGCTCTTGTTTGTATTTGCGTATTTGCTTAAGCGCCCTGAACAAAAAAACATTTTTCCAGTAGTGATAGATTCCCGTTAAAACCAACAGGGGAAAATACAACATATTCTTAAGCAAATGAACGTTTTGGTGGGGTAATGATTGAAGAAGAAACATAGCGAGCCCTGTACACAAGGCTTTGCGGGTTTGTCTCCAAACGCGGGTTGTTCAGAAAGGGTTCTGAGCCTCGTGAGGTTGATGACGATCCCCCACCCCAAGCAAAAAGGGTGCTTGGACAACATGTGTGTAACACTGAGTTCTGATCACAAACACCGGTTGACATGCCAAAACACCCCCCTAAAACCACCCTCCTTCTTCCCCCTCTTCTCTCCTTTCAACCGCATCGTCGAAGCGTCTCACCTCATCATAGTTGTCCAGGTCGAGCCCGCGCGCCTGGCAGAATCCGCAGGCTTCGTCTTTCTCCGATCCGGGGTGGGAGGTTCGGCTTCGTATTTTGGTCTACAGACCTATGGAGATATGTAGACCAACATATCTCATGCAGTTTGGGCTACAAACACATATTTGGCTGTGGGCCAAAACCAATGGTACCATTTTGGGGTAGGTGCACCACCTATTATAGAACCTATTTGAGGTACGGGATTTTGACCCATGGTCATTTGTCCATCTACTCTAAACTACATGGGATATGTTTTTGGAGGAGACCCCCGGCTCTGGCGCCGGATTCGAGAAGTTTCACGGAAACTTGTGGGGCTTCATGAGGGCAGCAACCCCAGCACCCAGCTATGTTTACAACCTAAGTCAACCTCCTACTGGAATCTCTGGACCCCGTTGGGGAGGTAGCCTGCATTTCGTGTTTGTTCAGATGAACTCTTGCTTTCAATCATGGGTAATTTAACCCCAGGGTGAAATAGAAACAGGCTCAGACTCAACCAGCGGTTCTTACAATGGAACCAAAGCCCGAAGCCCAGCAGGCAAGGCTATATGAAAGATTATTTTTTTGTTCGCGATATGCAAGATCACGCGCGCAGGTCATGTGCACCCACATGCAAGGCTCTTCCTTGCGCCGTGGCTTGCCTGTGGCAGTGGCAAAAACGCTCGATGTTGTTCGTGGGACGCCCTAGGGTCATAAGCCCTGGCAATTAAGATGTGTCTAGGTCTTGCTAAAGACACGTTCCCCCATAAAACAGCCAGGAGGGCGCAAACATGGGGAGCGAAACCCAGGTATGGGTCAAATTGGGCAAAGATATGTCACAATATGGCGATGCAAAATCTCTCGACTCAAATATAAGCATCGACGGTCTATTACACACTTCACATAGTGCAACCAGATGCAACTAGGCGTTACAAGGGACCCCTCGTCTT